TGAAAACGACCCTGACTGTGAACCTGTGAACTCGACGTCTAACAAGCGCGTGCTTTGAGCCGTCTGCAGTTGAATGTGATAACACTGGAGCTGTTGGTAACTGAGAGTCATGTTAACTCCTCACACTCAGGGTCCAGCACGACTGACTGATTGTCACACGTCTGATTCTTCTAAATAAATAAAAATGAATGAATTAAAAGCTTCCCGTGTGTATTTCTACATACGTGTGGGAAAAGTCTCATTTGTGTTGCACACGTCTGCGATTCGCTGCGTTCTCGTGTTTAACTCTGATTGTTGAAGCTGAGGGAAGCGCTTCCTGCGGGGACGCTGTGGGCCGACGCAGACCGGCTCAAACGAGAGCGTCTGAAAGAACAATGATGGGAATGAAAAGAGGAGGCGATGAGTAATGGTGACATGAAGGGCGATTATATTTCCTGGCAGTCTGAATCGGCAGAACATTAAACTGATTTTTCATGGAGACTGTCTGAGCCCACGTACAGCTGCACACATGCCGCTCGCTTTAGAGCACGGATCTTAACAGGACGCGCTGTCGTCGAGGACGACGAGCAGCGTTTGCACTCGTGAAGCAGCCGTGGTCACTTTAAAGGGAAGTCAACGCATCATGTACCTGATGTTCAGTATATGTATGCAGATATTTTCATATATGTTTCTGCAGCACCCTGTACTCTGTATAATCGCTGTGCTCCACACCTGATGGGCAGGAATCTGAATGTGGCGATGCTATTTGTCAGCCTCAGGGCGCCAAAGCGAAGCAACTTCCTGCCAGGAAGTTGGGAGCAGTGAACTTGAAGAGCTAATTATTAACAGAGATTTGACTAAAGACAGAAGAAGCTTCAGTTTGTTTGTGTTTGTGTGACACAGAAACAAATATGATGCTTAATGTGATGTCACTGTGCCGAACACCAATCAGTGTTTGTGGTTCCATCAGGTCACAAACGATGACGTAATTGTTGTTCCTTAACCACATGATGTTAGCCCCCTCACCCTCACCCCCACCCCCAC